GGCTCTGAGGCGGGGGGGGGGAAGGTGGAGGGTGAGGGGGTGGCTCTGAGGCAGTGGGGGGAGGTGAGCGGTGGCAGGCCGGGGTAGCTCTGAGGCAGTGGAGGGAAGGTGAGTAGAGGGAGTGAGGAGTGTGTGAAGGGTGAGCAGTGGGTCTGACTCTGCGATGCTGTAGTAGGGTGACCCATGGGGGCTGGTGTGGCCCACAGCAGTCACCCCTCCCTGGCCCATGCCCCTGTAGGGAGGCCTCTCTCAGCACTTTTCTGTTTGGTTCACGAGTTGTGAGGGGAAAGGCAGTCGGGTTCTGGAAATGCAATTGCGGGAGAAGGGACTGAAAGAGTTCTGTGCCTGTCAGGAGCAGCAGGGGAAACGGGGGAAGGGAGCAGAAGAGTCCCTGCCTCAGAGTGAAGGAGGAGGGGGAGTCTGGGTTGTTGGTGCGGGGCCTGGGAAGCAGGAACATTGCCTCTGAAGGCCCCTCTTGTCTCTGGCTGAACTTCCACAGACTCCGCACCTGCCCTGGAGGGAGGGCAGCTGTGGCTGTTAGTGGCTGGAGCAGGCCCTGGGCAGAGGCCTCTACTCCCTGTGTAGTGGGGTTGCAGCTGGAGGCTCTTCTCGCTCTGAATCATGCAAGCGGAGGGAGCTGTCCAAGCAGGCCAAACTGGCTGAGGGTTTGGCTGGATTTCGGGCCTTTGGCTCAGTCCTCATGTTTCGTTTGGAAACAGCACGTCTGGGCCGAGTGCAGGTAACTCCCACGTGGCCAGAGCACAAAGCAAACAGCTCACACATCTGCTGCTGCTTCCTCTGAGCCGGGAAACGTGAGAGGATGGGAAAGGAGCCTGGCAGGCAACTAGGCTCGGCACTGAGCCCCAGCAAGGGGGAGCCAGGCCTGAGGAACCGAGCAGAGCCCAGGGGGCACAAATCCATAGCTTTTAGTGCCTCATGATCCAGTTGGACCTCCTGCAGAGTCCAGGCCAGAGAATCCCACTAAGTAACTCCTGTGTCCAGCCCCGAACGTCTGGCTGAGCTTTCAGAAAGACACCCTGTCTCCATTTACAGACTCTGAATGATGGAGAATCCTCCGCATCCCTGGGTAAGTTGTTGCAGTGGTTCATTCCCTGCACTGTTAAAAATCTGCATCTTATTTCCAGTCTGAATTTATCTAGCTACAGCTCCCAGCCGTTGGATCTCATTGTGCCTTTGTCTGTGAGATAAAGAGCCATGTTCTCTCAGAAATCTCCTAGCCATGTAGATACTTCTAGACCGTGACTGAGTCATCTTATTTTTATTTATTATTTGTATTGCTGTAGTGCCAGGGAGCCCCAGTGAAAACACAGAGCCAAAAGATACCCCCGCCCCAAAGAGCTCACAATCAAAGTATAGGACAAAAGACAAACTGATGGGAGAACAAGGAAACAATGAGACAGTTTTGGCCAACATGACTGGTTTCAGCACACCAGCTCGGCCTTCACCTTCTGATGGATAATCCAAATAGATTGTTTCCTAAGTCTCTTGCTATACATCAGGGGTTCCAGGCCTCAAACCATTCCAATAACGGTCTCACCAATGCTGTGTACGGAGGTAACACCACCTCCCTACTCCTAGTGGGTCGTCCCCTGCTCAGACACCCAAGGATCCTGCTGGGAACTCATGTTCAGGTGGTTTTCACCATGATCACTAAGTCATTTTTAATATCGCTGCTTTCCAAAAATACAGTCTCCCTCCTTGTAACTGACCTATGTTCCACCTTGCATTTGGCAATATTAAAACACGTTTTGTTCAAATGAGCTGAATTTGCC